AGACGTTCATGCCAGGTAATCGTCTAGTGAGATAAATAAACTACAGAAATATACGATATTGTTGCAGTTTATATTGACAATAATACCTAATTAGGAAAAAAATAGGGTGTGGGGTGTGGGTGAGGGTGGGTGTGGGATGCCGGTGAAGTATCGGGTGTGGACGTGGGTGGTGTGAGTACAGGTGTGGGTGTATGAGTGGGGATGTGAGATATGGGTGCCGTTGTGTATCTTGTATGCTACAACATCTATATCCACTCACACCCACACCCTTAGAAAACTTTATACAAATGCGGAGTTTATAGTTTAGATTTAGCGGAAATGAGAATAAATTTTGTTTTGTTTTGAAAACAGTAAAAGCTATTCGATATGGATCATATGGATATATTTTATTTCAAAAACGATTATTTATTCTTCCACTTTCTCCTTCACTACTGGACAAAATATATAGTTTTTGTCCTCTAATTCGGTAAGATATGATCATTAAACAAAAAAAGATTGAAAAAGAGATTGTATGATTTTACCGGAGTATTTTTCGTGAATTCATATCCTAAAATAAAAGGAAGCCTATCTTGAGGATGTGGAGTTTAGTGAGAATTGTAATTCTTTCCAAGTCACACCTATACGTATATCATACTCACAGCTACAATCACATCTATACCTGCACCCATGCTCACGTCTACACTCAAAGTCACAGTTGCAGCTACACTTATGGTCTATTCAAAAGGGGCTGGATGAAAGTGCTTTTTCAATGTTGCTAAGGTGAAAATAAATTGAGAAAGTTGACTACAACCATATTTCTGATGCATATATGAATGTAAACCATGAACATAACAATGAATTAATCTAGAATATACGAATACTAATTCAAAAAAAAATGTTTTGTGGGTGCGGAGGGTGTGAGTATGTGTGAATATGAGTGTAGAAGTGTTTCTAATTGAACCAATATCTACATACACTCATACACCCTATCGGGACTATCGTATATTTTTGTTAGATGATGACACATTGTCTAAACATCCCAATAAAATGTTTGCCGACTCGTTTAGTAGTCTGATCGGAATGATTCATTCGACTAGCTGACACCGATTGGTTGACCGGAGTGTTTGACTTATGATTACTACAACGATCTTTGTCTTTGACTACAATAATAATCATATGCTACGTTTCGTTATCGATTAGTCTAAAACATATATCGTCATCTTTATCTTTACACATGACTAAATAAAACGCAAGGAGTTATTTGCATGAGCGTACAGCTTGAGGTGCTTATGGAAAAGTATCATACTTTCATGTTTAACATCGATTTTTAATTTATCAGTTATTTGATTATGATTTTTCCGTTACAGTTCTTATCCGATATATAATTCGTTCTATCTAAGTATCAATTGTATGAATGTTTTTATGCTAATGTAAGAATGATGATTTAACTACGTCACAACACATTTGCACGAGAATTGCTTTGCGTCGAAACGTTAAAATATTTTACGGGATATGTAATACACGAAAACAACACATGATTCGATTCTTATAATTATGATTTTCATATTGAATATCAAGGGCAAAGTTCCACATGCTCAAAGAACAAATGGCACGAATTTCATCATGCTCACTACGATAGAAACTTAAACATTCACGCCATGATTTATTCTTTGGCTTGTTTTCCTCCTGAATGACTTAAGTTTTGGGTTTAAGGCATGATATTATTCATGACAAATACATTAGACTCAAAATTTCAGAAATTTCTCATACAGAATTTATTTGAATGCTATTTTTATTGATCAAAACTTCTAACAATGTTTCTAAATTATATATTGCAAAAAATTAATCAGAAGTCAAAAACTTCATCGAATGTTATTTGTCGCTTCAAGATCTTTTTACTACATGACGGACAGCTAAACATAGGAAATAGAGACTATCAGGAATCTCATCGGAATAAATTTCCATATCGTATTTAGTCCGAAAAGACCACCTTGACCGCAACTGAAATTCAGCCAAGAGTCGATGATTTCCTTGTGTATCATAGAATTTTGTAGACGATGAGCCTAGCTTAGCTTCCATCGACAACTTATGATGATGCCATTCAATTGTCCAATTGAATCCCAACATCTGAAATTTTTGATTAATAACACCATCACGCCATTGTTTCGTACGATTATCATACACGCTGAATGTAGCTGCATAAACAAAGGGTTTCATTTTAGCTTTCAATTTACCGATGAGAGTCTTTTCTGGATGCGTAACCAGTTGAACTGAATGTAGTAAAACAAATTGTGATTTTAATCGAAATTTCAAATGTTTGCCAGTTTGATCATAGATCGAAAGTGAAGGTGACGAGAATCCACCAAATAAATCAGCTTGAATCACATATTGGCGTTTCGGAGTGTTGCAGACAGTACTGTATATCATTATACATACGAGCAGAATTCGAAGCGTTTTCATCTTAAAGAAGATCGAAATGAAATAAATAGTTTAAACACAACAAGCATATAAATAAATACATTGAATTTTTGCTTGAAGCAATCATCACAGATCTTTCTTTGAGAATATTTTTGCTTTTGATATTCTTCAATAATTGCTGAGATGTATCAATCGAAGTGAAAAGTAAAAGAATCATTAAAAGGTACTTAATAATCAATAGAAATGAATCGTAAGAGAAATGATATTGAAGAGGTCTGTTTTTGTACAAGACATACAAATTAGGAGCATAGGTCAGATAGCGTAAAAAATAATATAAAATTTATTACTCGTGATAAATAATAAATTACACGTTTCCTATTATTGTTTCAATATGTCTCATTAGCGCAAAATACACGCCCACAGTCATTACAACACATGGATGCAGTGTATAATGTCAAACTAGGGTGTGGGTGTGGGTGTGGGGTGTGGGTGTGGGTGGGTATTTTGCGCTAATGAGACATATTGAAACAATAATAGGAAACGTGTAATTT